CGAGGGGGGGCGCTGGGGCGGGCCCCAGCAGGATGGCCGCGCAGGAACGCTGGCCGTGGGCTGGGAGACTTGCGCCGGCCACCCCCCAGGGCATTCTCCAAGGACGGGCTCCTAGGGACACCTTCTGCCCGCAGCAAACATGTCCTGACCGAAGACATAGTGCACCGGGAGGTGACCCCTGACCAGAAGCTGCTGTCCCGGCGACTCCTGACCAAGACTAACAGGATGCCGCGCTGGGCCGAGCGGCTGTTTCCGGCCAACGTCGCTCACTCGGTGTACATCCTGGAGGACTCTATCGTGGACCCGCAGAATCAGACCATGACCACCTTCACCTGGAACATCAACCACGCCCGGCTGATGGTGAGACCCCCGGTGAAGTGCTTTGGTGCTGGTGGCTAGAGTACCGCCAGCCACCCTGTGCCTCTAGGCAGCTCTCTGGACCTGTCCCTGGACCTGTCCCTGGTCCTGTCCCTATCTTGCAGAGGGGCCTGTTTGCAGAGGTGTTGGCGGAGGACAGTCAGATGCTCATGTGGGCCTTACAGCTGAGAGTGATGGGGGTCACAGGTGTGTCCCCTGAACTGGGAGGTGCCTGCCCTGCTGTGTCTCACAGAGAGACGGGACCTCTCACCCACTTTGACCAGACGGGTTCATCTGTCTGTGAGTGGGTTTGTGCGTGAGATGTGGGGACACGGGCTTCACATACCTTGGTCTCCTACCTTTAAGAAGGCCTGAGAGTATGCTTTAGGGACCATCCTGATTGGTGCATGGGAATGCCCTCAAAGCTTTGCAGGAACTCCCCCGGCTTCCCTTTGTCATAACCCAGCAGATGGGTACTGTGCTCAGTCCTTAAGGACCTGAAAGGTGAGGCTCTGAGAGGGCAGCACCCCACCAGGTCACAGCCCCCCACTCTGCCCGAACTAGCCCACACAGGGCACTTTGTCTGCGCTCGGCAGGCTACCCAGGCAGGCCCAGATCAGAGCAGTGTCTGTTGAAGAAGCCCTTGACTGCAGAGGCTGACTTCTGCTCTCTGCCGAGTGGGGCAGCCAGCAGTGGGTCCTGTTCTATGTGGATGGTCAGGGAGCTCCAGAGCAGCAGTCTGCAGAAGGCAGACTAACATCTGTGTCTAGACCCAAAACTACGGCACGGGCCAGTGGAGGTGTGGAGATTCAGGCAGCTGGGTCCGTGGCTGTCTGCATGGTGAGTCCTGGACCTGGTGGCTTGAAAAATACACCACACACGTGTGTACGTGCCCAAAATCCTAGGAGGGAGAGAGAGAGTGGAGAGGATTGCAGCATGCCCAGTCTTCTCACGCTCCCCCACCCCATGGCATGTGCATGCACCACCTGGCAAATTTTGTTTTTTTTTTTTAAATACAAATTCCAGGACCAGTGCAGGACTGCTCAGCCCCCTGCTGACCTCACAGAATACATGCCCACCCAGGACTGAGGGTTAAAATTTGAAAGAACAACATGACCTTTTCTTTCTTTCCAAAGAGTTTTGCCCCATGGCATGTGCACTTGCTGGAGAAAGAGACAGAGTGAGGGACCAGCAGGTGGCGCAGTGGTTGGAGGCACTGGACTTCTGTGTGGCCATCCGCTGTTTGAGTCCCAGACCTGTGGGCTTGCTTTCTCACTTTCTCTCTCTCTGTTCCTCCCTGGTTGAGTTAAAATAAGTAAATAAAGTTAAATAAAATCATTATTTTTGGAAAAAAAGAGACAGAAAACGAGAAATTATCCCCCGGGAGGATGGCCGTGCTGCAGTCCCTTCTCCATTTTTCTCTCAGGATTTTGAGCACACACATAGGCACTTGTGCCTAGTGTGTTTCAAGCTGCCAGGTCTGGGACTTGAACTGCAGTCAGCCATGTGGGAGTCCAGTGATGTAACTGCTATGCCATCTGCTGGTCCCTGAATCATGGCCTTTTTTTTATGGCTTTGCTCTGTAATTGCACCTGGAGAGTGACCGGGCTGTCATACTGCTTCCCCTCGGGAAGGCAGGGAGCAGGCAGGTGTACTAGTTGGGACATGGGTGGCCTCCCGTGACTGGCCCGACCCTACACAGGTGGTGGAGGAACGATGCGTTTACTGTGTGAACTCTGATAACAGCGGCTGGACCGAAATCCGCCGGGAAGCCTGGGTGTCCTCGAGCCTGTTCGGTGTCTCCAGAGCTGTCCAGGTGAGCAGTGCTGAGGGACCACTGGCTCGGGCCCAGGGCTTTAAGCTGGGGTAAAAGGACAGCTCAGAATCCCTCACCTTCTCATCTTTTGCCAGGAATTTGGTCTTGCCCGGTTCAAAAGCAACGTGACCAAGACTATGAAGGGTTTTGAGTACATCTTGGCTAAGCTGCAAGGTGAGGGTGCTGGGCACTGCTGGGGGAACCTTCTGAGGAAAGGTTGGGGCACAGTCCCAGCTCAGCCTGATCTGCAGAGGTGGGCCAGTCACTGACCTGCTCTGAGCCGGGGGTTCCTCGTCTATGGGGGGGAGTACCACCTCTGCAGTGGGCATGGCAGAGGCAGCGCTGTTGGTAGGGCTGGTAGGTGGGTCTTGTGGGCACCAGCTGAAACCAGCTCCTGCCCTTGGTTACAGGTGAGGCCCCTTCCAAAACACTTGTGGAGACAGCCAAGGAGGCCAAGGAGAAGGCGAGGGAGACGGCGCTGGCAGCTGCGGAGAAGGCCACGGACCTCGCCAGCAAGGCGGCCACCAAGCAGACACAGCCGCTCGTGTAGCCCCCGCCCTCACCTCTCCCCTCCCACGTCGTCATTAAAGCCCACTTCCAGCCCTCTGTCCTGTCTGGGTGGTGGGTTGGGGCTGGGTGTCCCGCTTGGCACCTGCAGTCCAGGCACATCTCCCATGTCTGAACCGGGTGCTTATTCCCCATGGGGCATCTGAGGACAGGCACAGGGAGGTGTGGCCACTGGCCACCTGCGGTGACACAGGCAACACTGGCTTGTGAGCTCCGAGGGCAGGGCTCCCGGGTTTGCTCTCAAATGCATCCCCAGTCCCCAGAACAATGTCTAGCACGTAGTCGGCACTCAATAAATCCTGTCAAACGCAGCCAGCCCCTGCTCTGGAGTTGGAACACAGCTCAGATCCTGCCTCTGTGGCTTTGGCGTCAGGCATGGCATGCCAGAGCCTCAGTTCCAGGCCTGCTGGGCCAAGACAGCAGCCCAGGAGCTGTGCAGGCCCCATGTTTGCTGCCGTGGGCAGTGTCCTGGAGCTGCTGACCTGCCTTCTTTCCCAGCTGGTGGCAGCAGGTTCCCTGTTCTCAGCTGGCAATACCACAATGGGTGGGGAAGTGATGAAAGGCTTTAATGAAAATACTGTACAGGGTGTGTGGCAGAGGTCACGCGGGGACAGACGGGCCGAGAGGCTTTCTGCCTGAGGGCAGCAGAGCCAAGTGCTGTGGGGAGGCTGCAGGTGGCCAGGCCACCTGCCCTGTAGGCTCTGTCCACAGGGAGTGCCTGGCTCTGGGAGCACCTGTTCCCACACAGGTCCTCTAGTCCATCCCACAGGTGAGTCCAAGCAGCCGCTGGGGCTGGGGAGGCTCCAGGCAGGACCAGTCCAGTCTGGGCAGTGGTCATAGCCAGGTGCCGCTGCCATGTGAGTAGCTGTGCTCCCGGCCCGCGCTGAAGCCCCGCAGCAGCTCGGCAGGGCCCCCAAACACCAGGCTCTCCACGTCCACCTCTAGCTCCTCTGCACAGAGAGGGGCTGGTCAGACACACCCTCAGCTTCAGGGCACCCCTCAGCCCCAGGACACTCACCTTGGTCAGAGTCGGAGCGCTCCCAGGTGCCGCTGCCATGTGAGTAGCTGTGCTCCCGGCCCGCGCTGAAGCCCCGCAGCAGCTCGGCAGGGCCCCCAAACACCAGGCTCTCCACGTCCACCTCTAGCTCCTCTGCACAGAGAGGGGCTGGTCAGACACACCCTCAGCTTCAGGGCACCCCTCAGCCCCAGGACACTCACCTTGGTCAGAGTCGGAGCGCTCAGAGGAGAGGCCGGAGGAGTCTAGGCTGTCCGCCCGTGGCCTCTCACGCTCGCTGGCCCCGGCCAGCCCCCGGAGCTGCTCCAGCCGCTGCTGCAGGCTCTGCCGGCCGCTGCGGCGCTTCTC